GTTGGTGGGCTCGGGCCATACTCGTAGGGCCTCGATCTTGTCCGCGAGCGGACGGATGCCTTGCGGCGTCACATAATGGCCCAAGTACTCCAGCTCCTGCCGCGCGAATTCACACTTGTCGTGGTTGGCTTCGTACTTGGCCTGTCGTAGCCGCTCCAAAACGGTGCGCAGGTGCACAACATGCTCCTCCAAACTCCGCCTGTACACCAGGATGTCGTCGAGGTAGGTAAGTACGTAGCGATCCAGCATGTGTCGGAACTCCGTTGTCATAGCCGCTTGGAAAGTGGCCGGGGCATTCGTAAGGCCAAATGGCATGACCAGCCATTCGAAATGCCCATACCGTGTCTTGAATGCGGTCTTGTAGCGATCCTCCTTGCGAATCTCGAGTTGGTGGTACCCTGACTTGAGATCCAGCTTAGAGAAGAACTGGGCGCCGCCCAATTGCTCGAGAAGGTCGTCGATGCGTGGGAGAGGGCCGGCGTTCCTGATCGTCTGCGCGTTGAGCTTGCGATAATCGATGCACAACTGCAGGTCCTTGTTCTTCTTCCGGACGAAGAGAACGGGAGCACCGTATGACGATGAGCTAGGCCGAATCCAGCTTTTCTCTAGAAGGTCGTCGATTTGTGCCCGAAGCACACTTAACTCTTCCTCGCTCATTCGCGACCGGCTCGGGCACGACGGCATCCACACGGTTGTGGACCGATTGAGTAAGTACGCGCGTTTTCTTCCTTGCAAGTACTACTCCACGGCTCCCGAGCTGGCACGCCTCCTGCACACTGGTTGGATTTGTGGCCACGGTGTACCCGAAGACATTGTCAACGACCGCGACACTCGTTTCATGTCGGCGTTTTGGACTGCTCTCATGCAGGAGTCCGGCACAACAATGAAACCAAGTTCGGCYCGACACCCTCAGACAGACAGGCAGACGGAGCGGGCACATCAGACCGCTCAAATGATGCTTCGTACGCTCATCCGTCCGGACCAGAAAGATTGGGTTGACCGCCTCCCCGACATCGAGTTCGCCTACAACACTTCGGTGCATCCGGCGATCGGCGTGACTCCATTCGAGTTGCACCGCGGTGGACGGAAAGGCCGGATCTTCGCCGACCTTCTCCTCCCTCGACCAGYCGACATTGACGCTGCCTGCTCTCCCTCTTCCGTCCGGAAGTACAGGGAATTGCTGACTCAAGTCCGCATGCAGCAGCAAGCCAACAGGCGTCGCGTACCATGTCCCATCCGCGCCAGTGATCTGGTTTGGGTCTCCGCGGAAGAGTTTGCACTGGAACAGGATGTTTCACGCAAACTGCTTCCCAAGTGGTTTGGACCTTGTTCTGTCTGTGACAGCAGCCGCGGGCGATGAGCCCGATGGCCCTTCATTTGTGATCAACATTTCAGAGCATCTGACGGTCCATCCGGTCTTCCACGCCTCGAAGCTGGCAAC